CGGAAATGGATCATTATGCTCCTGCCAGCTTGACGTTGCCATAGTTTCCAAGAACTACGGATGAAAAATTAAGAACCGCGGTGTCTCTGGTTTAGATAAGGAAGCTGTTGCCGCTCTTTATAAAAACAGCCCAGTTAGATGATTCAGTTTCAAACATGTTGGGTCGGTAGAGGAGCAGGTTGCGCATGCGCTCTGAGCACACGGCTTTTTTTTTCTAATTGAGATATGCTCGCTTTTCTTGAAAATCAGCAGCAGTTGCTTTGAGGAGCAGAGAGACGGAGACAGCGGGATATCACCGCGGTTCACGCGGACAGACCGCCGGGCTGGCGCGCCCCCACCCTCCCCCCCCAATGCGGGTTTTTCTTCACGCGTTTCTGTTTGATGTCCTGACCGCCTGCTCCAGTCAGCCCCACTGAGATGGTCCATGTCAGAGATGGCGAAGGGTCTTTTTCCACGAGCCTGGGTGAAAAAGTCTTTCTACTTCCAGGTAGGAAGTATTTGCGTGTTTATAGGGGAATAAAGCGGAGGGATCGTGTTTTGCGTGTCGCTGCGGTCACATCTGCGTGGCTGACAGCTGGCAGTCAGAGCTGCTGTCAGGGAATGACCTGATGAATGTGTCTGTTAATAACCTGGTTACTGACAGAGCTGTTATACAGGCCTGGAGGCGGAGGGTCTCCAGCAACAGGGAGGGGAGGGGGGATGGCAGTTTGCTTTTTTATTGTATAAATAAAAAGGCTTTCATGTTGACCAAAGGGACCTCTGGAGATCTAAATATTTAAAAACAACCTACACTATAAAAACTGAACTCAATCCAACCCTAATGGATTTAGTTTAAACTTTTAATTTAAATGAAATTAAGTTGGATTAACTTAATTCTGTTACCAGTTGAATCAATTCATTTAAAGTCGTATGGAAATCATATTTAAATTTCAAATCATTCTGGCTTAAACATGTATATAAATGTAGCCTCCTCTTTATCAGAGCATATTGTCCCAAAATATAGAAAATTTCTAGAAAAAAAATCTGTGTTTTTTC